GTTTGATCCCAGTGGTGTTTTAGTGTATTCAAAGAGTTATGCAACCATCAACATTAGGTAATTTTAGAAAATTTTCACCATCTGATGAGAAATCCCCTACAAATTAGCAGTCAGTCCCCATCCCCCCTCTTCATCCCTGGAAACTAAGCTACTCTTTGAGAAAGTGTGGGATGTCAGCAAGTACATTAGTTCACCCTTGTGGGGCAGCTTGAGTAAAGCAACAGCTGTAGGAACAATGTGCTGTGTTGGCAGGACAGCTGGGTACCTTTTCTGTAGTACAGAGAGGGTCTCTTACTGAACAGCAGCAGGAAGACAGCAAATAGGTCACGTGGAGAGCTGGCAGTGAGATCACTTCTGAAAATGAGAACACCGGATCCGGAAGTGACGTCGGATATGAGATCAGCCTGGAAGTGACATCATTGTGAGCCTGTGTATATAAGCTGTGCTCAGAAATAAAACTGCATCACTGGCTGATGGACAGTGACTGTAATGGGGTATGTGGTGGGGACTTGATGATCGAGGGAGTCTAGTAACCATAATGTTGCTCATGTAACTGTAGATTAATGATACAAAAAAAAAACTGCATAACTAGTTTGCCACCAGCAATCAGTGGACCTCCTGACCCCAACTTTGGTTTCTGTGTTTTTCTAGTATCTATCTCTGTATTTTTCTCACATCTCCCATCCACCCCTCTCAGGTTCAGCTGGATTGCAGAGCTGTTCTCTGCAGATGGCACCCAAACGGGGACCTGAGAACAGGGTGATGACAACCTTAGGTGAGCAGACTCCCTGAGGGGCAGACACATTGAGACATAAGGTACAGCAACAATATAGTCCGGAGGGAGGTATAGGAGCAATAGAGTCAGGAGTAAAACTTCGGACAGTCAGGGTCAAAGGACCGTGAAGTCTTTGTATATATACTTAAGGCTATAAACATGGAACAGTCTGGGTCAAAGGACTGTGAAATCTTTGTACATATACTTAAGGCTATGCTTCACGCCCCCATGGCAGTACTGTGGGAAGCCATCAGCTGGAATCTTTTCTCGCTTTTGTGCAAAAGACCTGCCCCTGGTTGCTCGAAGAAGGAACCATAAATGAGCAGACTTGGCAGAAGGTGGGGCTGCAGCTCAAACAGCGCTTCACCCTTCATGGGCCTCCAGGACTCTCCTATAGAAACATTTGCTTTATGGAATTTAGTGAAGGAAAGTTTGGACCCCTCCCCCGAGGTTACCCGTTTGCCGGATAGACTTCCGGAGGGAGGCTCTATAGCCGAGCAATCGACAGTCACGGCTTAGGAGGCTTTGGCTCATGCTACAGCCCCCATGGACTATAAGCTGTTACCTCCCAAGTATGAAAAAGACAGTGAGCTATTGCCTCCCAAGTATGAACAGGCGTTGTTAAAAGAGAAACAGCAATGTGAGGAGCCCCTCAGAAATGAGCAACATGGCATCCAATATGATGACCACGAGGATTTATGAAGTGAGCAGGAAGAATCTGCCTCCTCAGAGTCCGAGATGGAGGGAGAGGGCGACACAGGGACTTCTGACATCTTGAAACCTTCTGCCGATACTGGGTTTGTCTTGGCTGCTTTTCCAAAACTGAAAGTGTCTTCCCTTAAACCCCTGCAATCACCCATCTGTCTTGATAGGCCTCAGAGCCGCAAATTACAAGCAGGGAACCCTTCACACCTCCGCATCCCCCTAGTGGTCAGTCTAACCAGGGACATTCCATTTCCGTTTCTACCAGAGTGACTTCCGGTCCTGCTCACGGTTCAGCTTTGTAGTGCAGCATCCAAGAAGCCCAGAAATGGCTTCCACTCTATCTGCCTACCAGTCATTGAAATGCAAGAAGGGGATAGGAATTTCAGACAAACTTTTAAAACTTTGAAAGAGCTCAAACAGTCCTGCCCTCAAGGTGGCCCATCTCCTTTTACCCTAGCTCTTTTGGAGGCAAATAATTGACCCTCTGGCTCCTCCTAATGACTAAAAAATGCTCACTAAGGCATGTCTCACTGGAGGTGGTTATTTACTATGGAAGTAGGAATTTGTAGACTTGTGCGCACAACAGGCCAATAGAAATCAAATGCATAACATTCCTATCAGCCTGGATGTGCTGACTGGGGAAGGGCAGTATTCTGCCTTGATAGATCAGCTTCAGTTCGCTTTATAAGCATGTTTGCGGAAGCAAAGCTTGGAGTAGCCTGCCCACCGCAGGAGCTAAAACTGAGGAGTTCAGCAGCAATTGGCAAGGCCCAGATGAGCCATTTCAGGAATTTTTATCTCGCTTACTGTAGGCAATATCCAGAGTAGTTCCTGATTCTGAGGCTGGGAATATTCTTGCTAAACAACTGGCCTATGAAAATGCAAACAGTACATGCCAGGGTCTCATTTGGCCTTTTAGAAAAAAGGGTACTCTTTACGACTCTGTCAAACTTTGTACAGATGTGGGACCGTCCTACATGCAGGGCGCAGCATTGGCAACCGCATTACACAAAACATTTGGCCGAACATCAGCCCCGCCCCCAGAAGGGATGGAACGCCATCCTAAAGGCGGATGTTTTTGCTGTGGACAGTTCAGCCATTTTGCCCGAGAATGCCCTTGCCCTAGAGAGCATCCACGAGCGCCTCCTACCTTCTCACCCCAGGTAAAACCAAACAGAGCCCCTGGAATTTGCTCACCGTGCCGCCGAGGCAAGCATTGGGTAACGAATGTAGGTCACAAACTGATATTCGGGGACTACCATTGTCGGGAAACTCCCAGCTGGGCTCACCCCAGCCCCCGCAAATAATGGGGGCCCTGTCCATGACTCCCACAATTGTCCTTCCTTACGCACGACAGTCCAACTTTCTCCAGCAACCCCAGGGAGTGCAGGACTGTGCCTCAGTCCCACCTTCCGATTTGTATTAACTCCTGATATGGTACCACAAGCTATTCCCACCAAAGTACATGGCCCTTTACCTCCCGGTACAATAGGCCTTATTTTAGGCAGGAGTAGCTGGAACTTGAAAGGAGTACAGGTACAGCCCGGAGTCAGACTCCAACTACACAGGTGAAATTAAAGTGATGTGTTGCTCACCTTTCAGAATTATTCAAATGTTATCCTCTGATCGTGTAGCTCAACTTGTTGTGCTGCCCTTTGTACAAACCAGCCAGTGCCAGTCCTCCCAGGCAAGAGGAAACCGAGACTTCAGTTCCACTGACGCCTTTTGGCCCCAACAGGTGGGACTTGAATGACCTACTTTGACTCTTTGGATTGATGGGAAGCGTTTTGAAGGTCTTGTGGATACTAGAGCTGACGTGTCCATAATATCATCACGGCACTGGCTCGCCACTTGGCCCACCCAGGAGGCTATGACTGATCTGCAGGGTATTCATATGGCATGGGGTCCTCTACAGAGTTCTCATACATTGGCCTAGTCAGACAAAGAGGGACATACGACTTTCCAGCTGTACATCCTCAACCATCTCCCTGTTAATCTATGGGGACAGGATATTTTAGCCCAAATGTCAGTTTTACTTTATAGTCCTAGTCCTCAAGTTGCTCAAATGAAGCTGGACCAAGGGCATGTGCCCAGGACTGGCCTTGGAAGTGAGGGCCAAGGTTTGCCACTCCCAATTTCCTCACAGCTCCATCAAGATCGATCTGGCCTAGGGTACCATCCAAATTTGCCCTAGGGGCCTCGGTATCTCCTGCCTCCCCAGTATTGATGGCCTCTAAGATACGATGGTTAACTGACCAGCCCGTCTGGGTGGACCAATGGCCCCTGATTCAGAAGAGGCTAGAAATTGCCCAACAGCTGGTATCTGAAAAATTGGAAGCCAGACATATTGAGGAATCCCTTCGTCCTTGGAACATTCCCATCTTTGTGATAAAAAAGAAACAGTCTGGTCACTGGAGACTCCTACAGGACCTCTGCAAGGTTAACACAATCATGGTTACGATGGGAGCACCCCAACCACGACTGCCCTCACCTACCATGATCCCGCAGAAACACTCTCTGTTATTGGTTTAAACGACTGTTTCTTTTCTATTTCTTTACATCCAAGAGACAGGGAATGTTTTGCCTTTAGCTTGCCCTCAATTAACTTTAAAGATCCCATGAAAAGATACCATTGGAAAGTACTTCCTCAAGGAAAGGCCAATAGCCCTACTTCATGTCAAACATTTGTGGCACAGGCCATTCAAGTAGTGTGTGATATATATTCGGAAGCATACGTTATCCATTATATGGATGACATTCTTTGTTCCCATGCAGACCCCAAGGTTTTGTCTCAGCTTTATGGACTGCTCAAAATTCAGATACCCATGGACTCCGCATTGCTCCTGAAAAGGTGCAAATGCAAGCTCCATTCTCCTATTTGGGAACTCGTATTTTATAGAGGATCGTTCAGCCCCAAAAGGTGGAAATAAGAACTAGGCACCTACATACTCTGAATGATTTCCAAAAATTACTTGGAGACATCAATTGGCTAAGACCATTCCTGAGACTTACCACAGGCCAGTGACGTCCTCTTTTCCAACTCCTTCAGGGTGACCCCAACCCTTCCTCCTCTAGACATTTGACACTCGAAGCCAAAGATGCGTTAAAACTTGCTGAGGATGTTACTCAGCATACTCAGGCGCTTCACCTTGATCCCCAGGCATCTGTCTCAGTTATTGTTTGTACCACCAGCCCAACTCCTACAGGTGTTTTATGGCAACCCCTGGGACCCCTTGAATGGGTTCATGTCCCGAATTCCCCTCCTCAACATCCTACTCCTTATCATGTCTTGGTGTGTGATGTGGTTCAAAAGGCCAGGGTCAGGTTTAGGCAGCTTTTGGCTGCTGAACCTTCCTTCACTGTTGTTCCTTACAATGCTCAGCAACAAGCTTGGCTCTGGTCCACTTCTGAGGAGTGGCAGTCGGCCTTGGCTAATTTTCCTGGAAAGATTGACTGTCATTATCTGTCCAACAAACTTTTACAATTTCTTAAGGACACCCCTCTGATCTTTCCCAAAACCATGCACTGTGAACCCACCCCCAGTGCTATCCCTGTCTACACGGATGCATCCAGTGCAGGTACTGCCGCTGTTCACACCCCTGAAGGCACTTGCTCCCACCGCACTCACCACTGCTCTGCCCGAAAGGTACAGCTTGAGTTGTACCCAGAACAATCCTTTAATGTTTACACTGATAGTATATATGTGTTCACGGTATTTCATACTGTGGAAACAGCCGTTATTTCTCAAGCCACCACTGAGGAAGTCTTTCATCTTTTTCATATGGCTCTGGTAGCTCTTAGGCGGAGGACCCGCCCGGTGTATGTTGGATATCTTCATGCACACACTGGTCTTCCTGGACCTCTGACTGCTGGCAATGTGGCTGCTGATGCCACCGCCCGTGAGCTCCCTCCAAAGGGCTTGACTTTACTCTCAGAATCTCCGCTCTTGGCAGCTCAACACTCTTACCAGTTATTCCATCAAAATTCCCCAACTCTTAAAAAGCAGTTTGGAATCACCCGAGAACAGGCTAGACAGATAGTTTGCACATGCCAAAATTGTCACTCCTTATCGCCTACGGTACCCCTTGATGTCAACCCTGGAGGCCTGGTTCTAAATCAAATCTGGCAAATGGATGTCACCCATGTCCCATCCTTTAAAAATACCCCTTTTGTTCACGTTTCCCTTGATACTTATTCTGGCTTCATATGTGCTTCTCCTCGATCTGGAGAGGCCAGTAAACACATTATCTCTCATTATCTGCACGCATTCTCCATCCTGGGTATTCCTACGATCATAAAACTGATAAAGGGCCTGGATACACAGGACAAGTCTTCCAACATTTCTGTACAACCTTTCAGATCCAACACGTGGTGGGAATTCCTTATAACCCTCAGGGCCAAGATATGGTGGAAAGAACCCACCTCACACTTAAAAATCAGTTATTCAAACAGAAACTATGGGACCTCCCCCACAAACCAACTAAACCTTGCCCTGTTCACATTCAATTTTCTTTCAGTGGATGAGCAAGGCCTCACAGCAGCCAACCAATTTTGGACCCGTCAGAACAAAAAATTTGCTTTGGTCAGATGGAAAGACCCCCTCACGGGTCTTTGGCAAGGACCTGACCCGGCGCTTATCTGGGGGAGAGGTCATGTTTCTGTATTCCCTAAGTCTGCTACAGGTCCTCATTGGCTCCCCAAATGACTGGTCAAACATCACCATGCAGCGGTTAACTCCCCAGATAAGGATGAAGACCACCCAGAAGTCCACCTCCCTCGACACCCAACATCACAACAAACGCGGAGAGCCCATCCTCCGACATGGGGACAGCTCAGCAGGCTGACTCAGGAGGGAGAGGCCATGGTCAAACAACAGCTGACTCTAACTCTGATAAGCTGTTCCTGGCAATGCTAGCCATCATCGCCTGCTTGCTTTAGTGTTTGCGATAATCGTTTTGTTTTGCTTAGTATTAGCTGGCGAGCCCTCAAGAAAAGAATCCATGCAGACCGAATGAACCTACATCACCTACAGCTTCAATTAAAGAAAGAGGGGGGAGAGCTCCCAGCCCCCTGAGGTTTTTCAAATCCCTAAGGCCTTTCCAATCTGTTCACCTTTCTTCCTATTTGCTGGTTCTGCGATTCTTCTTCCTAAACACAGCCCTTTCTAGAATCCCCATACATGGAGTTGCCTTGTGCCAGAGGCCCTCCTTGAATTAGAAACCTGGTTTCCCCAAAACATGTGATCAAAGCCAGGGTCCTGCCAACAGGTGAGAAAACCCCAAGGCAGGTTTTGGGCATGGAGGGCATGGGGCATAACCAATCTAGGAGACAGAGAACTGACCCTCTCAAAGGGCGCTGCTCCTCTCTCCCCCGCATGCCTCACATCACCCTGCTTGGCCCCAGAGGATGACTGGTTTAGCCAGAGACAGTAAGATTCCTTAAGGGAGGAACAACCTAAGACAGGCACAGTCGCAGAAGGGCCATCAGGACGGATGTTCTTATAGACCCATCTCCAGTACCAACATCTCTATCGTTTGGTATTCAACCAGAGAAACAGAATCAGTAGTGTTCTGAACTCAAGCCACACAGGGAATTAATGAAATTATATCTATACATGTATGTGCACATTAATATAAACACATATGAAGACAGTTATAAGGAATTGGCTTATACAATTGTGGCACCTCGATAGGCAAGAATGAGATGCTCACTGCATTATTTATAATAGCCAAATTATGGAAGCAACCTAAGTGTCCATCAATAGATGAATAGACAAAGAAGATACAGTACATATATGTACACAATGGAATATTAGTCAACAATTTAAAAAAAAAGAAATCCTGCCACATGCACAAACATGGATGGACCTAGAGGGTATTATGCTAAGTGAAATAAGCCAGGCAGAGAAAGACAAATACCATATCATTTCACTTATTTGTGGAATAAAAAAACAAAACAAAGTGAACAAAATAGCAGTAGACTCATGGACACTGAGAAGTGACTGCTGGTTGCCATGGGAGAGGGGTTGCAGTGGGTGGGGAGGGTGAGGATGATAAAGGGGCACAAAAATTCTCAATCATAAATTGGTCATGGGGATGGTAGCACAGCATGGAGAATACAGTCAGTGATTCTGTAACATCTTCCTGTGTTGACAGATAGTAACTGCACTAGCGGAGGTGAGGATTTAGTAGTATGGATAATTATTGAACCACTGTGTTGTATAGTTGAAACCAATACAAAGATTGTATAGCAACAATACTTTAATTTTTTTAAAAAGTGAAATGTAGGATAGGCCCTTAGGAAGGGCAGACGGAAACTCCGGCAGGAGAGGAAGCTTCTGTCCCCAGGTGTGATTTATTTTGCTTTGTAAACGCTATAGTTTACTCCCAAACCTTTTTGATGATTGGGTTAGCCCCACCCAGATTACTGAAGATAATCTCCTTTAATCCAACTGATTATATAACTTAACCAATCTACAAAACACCTTTAAAACCAACACCTCGTTTTTTCAAATAACTGTATAGTATAGACTAGCCGACATGTAAAATCCTATCAGTCATGAAAAGAAATGTTTCATTAAGAGCTGAAGAAAAGTACAAAGTGATGTAAGGATATCCATATAATATTAAAAATAATATCAAGCCAAATAATTAAGAAACAAGAGTACTAAAACATTATAGAGAACAAAATGTTTATACATGTAAACTAGAGAACACAGATGCTAAGACATATTTTTCCAAATATGGAAAATATGTAGAAAAATCATAGATGTAAATCTTATCACTATCATAGATGTAAAGTTGCCTGGTCGAATCTATACTTCCTCTTAATCTGATTACTTCAAGTTTCTTTCTAAAAGTGTTAAATACTGAATGAAGGGATTAGATAGAAGGGTATATATAAGGAATGGGTGGGTTACCCTGGAGGTTGATAAGCTGTCTTGGGAAGCTGCTCAGTTGCCCACTCACCTCTGTTGAATCCAAGTACCTCTTCCCAAGATGGATTTGAACAGTACTGCAAATGGTAAATTCTCTTCTGCAGTTTGCTCTTTTCTTTGATGTTACATGCTTTGCTTATAAAAGTTAAAATCACAATTAGAGGGATAGGGGCTGTTTTTAGTAGTAAGTTGTGTCTGAGGATTGATAGGTGCTTTGAAGTGGGATTTCAAATGTAAGATGACAACCAGGAGTCTCATGTATAGATTGTTGAAAGTTTTAAAGTTGACATTTTAAGAGGAGAAAAGTATATATGGATTATCTAGTATTTTATATTTAATAAGATGTATTTTTATCACCAAATACCAGTTATGGTGTGTTTTATTTATCCTTTTCCATGTTTTATTTTCCTAGCTCCTACTGCTTCTATTTTCTTTGCATGTAATTTTCAGTAACTTTTTCTTTTGATAATTCAAATCAGACTGTCATTTCTTCCCATTATATATACAGATTCAATCTCTATGTCTCCTGTTTAGCATGACTTTCATTGCATCCCTAAAGTAAAAATGTAGAATAATATGGACCTATAGGCTTTCAACCTGGAATAAACATAAGATATATGCTCACACAATTTATAATCCATAAGCATATCCTTGATACTCCTCTCCCATTTTCTCTTCATCAGGCATACTACCAAAAGATAACTGGCAAGGCAAGGTGGTTTACAACCAGAGGCAAAAGGATATCCTCCAAGCGTGGTTTGAACACAACCCTTACCCTGATAAAGCTACCAGGAAACAATTGGCCGAGGAAATTGGCATTCCAGAATCCAAAATTCAGGTAAGGACTGGGTTTCTGTTTTATTGTATTGTCAGATTCAAGGTAACGAGAAAGGCTGGACTCACACGTTCAGGCAATTCTCTTATGTCAGGTTTGTTGCTTGGAAGGTTTTCCTGTTTTATAATATTAAAAAATAAAAATAAAAACAAGAACTCTGTTTATGACTTTTACCGATGGGGGAAATACCGGTTGAATATATTCACTGACGCGGGGGGAGAACATCCTGGCTCCAGCTCTTCTAATAGAAGATAATTAAATCAATTTTAAGATTTAGAGAATCTAGGAAATTAAATTGCTATGGTAACGATGTGTGTCATTAGGTATAGAATATACACCACAGAATACTAATTAGTATGTATTATGAGGAAACTGGAGCAAGAACTCATATAAGACCCCACTTTTTGGACTAGTTTTTTAAAGTTAGTATCTGAAGTGTGATTCATACACATTAGTGTATAAAGTAAAATCCCACATTATTTTGAATATAACTGATATAAAAATGAAAATAAGTTGGATTTCTTCAGTTAGTAAGGAGATAACTGTAAACAATAAAATAATACCAGGGGAAACAGTTATTTAAAGCAATGAAGATCACTAAAAATGTGCCTTTAGAGGAAAATAATGAATTCAGATTTCTGTATCAAATATATAGTCTTCAAAAAGCCATTGGCTATATATAAGATCCTCAAGGGGATGCATGGGAGAAGAAATTTTTCTTAACTCCCCATGCATTTGCTGTGGTTGTAGAAGACAAGAGTTTACTCAAATCCCAGTAATAAAGGTACATCCTGTGGGAATACCTGGTGATTGGCTGCAGGACAGATTCTGGGCCCATTTGAACTGATGTGGAAGACAGCAAGTCTAGGAAAGAACGTAGGATAAGATTGACTCTGCCGCAGTATTCATTAATTTATTTGTTAGTTTCCAGTTTCCACCTGTGCTTAAGACTTCTTATCTGAAAACATTTTCATTAATTAACTTATTATTATTAGCACAATGCCTGGGACTTTGAGTGATTTGTTACATGCTGATTGTCATTAACACCCTAAATCTTATCACAAATTATCAAATTATCAAAATAAATACAAATTATCTCATTATCAAAATAATTAGAAAGTACACTGCAATTCTGACTCCAGTAATGAGGAAATTAGCAAAGAATTTACACCTGGTTATGTCAGTGACAATAGCTTCACAGCAAGTAGTAGTGTCCCTACAAGTTTCCGTATCTGTCGCTGACCATGGGATAAACAAGAGGGAATGTGGATGAACTCCTGACTGCAGCTAATTCTACTCCCCATTTAAAGAAATTATTTTCCGAAATCAGTTCCATATGTATTGTGTATTACGAAGTGGTATTTCTTATGAAGAGATGATGGCGGCCAAGGAAAGGCATTCAGACATTGAAGACCTGCTATGGGGAGTGGATCAGGCAGGTGGATACTGATTTTCTTGGAGAGAACAAACAGTATCTCTTAAAACTTCAATTTTCTTGGCATATCATGAGAATGACCATAAGAGAAATGCTAACTCGAGCTGAGAGTGGACTGTGTGCTTTCCTGGATTGTATGCGAAGAGTAACATCACTCCTAGGTGCTCCATCACCTTTCTCTTGCAGATGTTATCCCAGTGGCAGTTAAACCAAATCAGTTTTAACTGCATTTATATTTGGATTGACACAGACTGAGTTGCATGACTTTTGTATCTTCTCCTCCCACACAGACTTGGTTTAAAAACCACAGAGTGATGCAGAGGCAACTGGGATCCAGATGCTCCTTAGGAAAAGGCCAAAGCCAGGGAAAGGACCAGCATCAGCCTTGGACTCAAGGTGAGAACCCACTGGTCCAAATTCCCCTCTTCAGTGGGTCCCATTGAATGGAAATGATTCTGCATGCTGTACCCAAATTCCCCACAGAAAAATTCCTTACCTCAGGAGGCCAGATACAGCTTGTCCTGGGCTCCCTAGTGTCAGAACATCAGCATGGCCCCACTGTCAGGTGGGATGGGCTGGCTCCTAGCAAGCAGGGCTATGGCCCTTTTGTGGTCTTGCTGCCATAAGCAGAGTGATGTCCTTCTCTTCTGTCACCTCAGGGGAATTCCATGGGAGTTAAGTGTGGTCGGGATTATCTTCTCAAGTTTGAATTTCCAGTTCAAATGTGAAAACTGTCCTAAAAGCCATCTTTTGCTCTGTGTTCTTTAGAATACTTCCCAAAAGAAACCAGACAAGACCAGACATCCATCAAGAGATTTCAATCAACCATCCTAGTTCAAGCCTTTGAGAGGAACCGATTCCCTGATATTACAACCAGAAAAAAATTGGCTAAACAAACAGGCATTCGGGAATCAAGAATTCAAGTAAGTTCTATGCCTGTGTCACCAAACATGTCTTATCTTACTGCCCCCTAAAGAGTTTCTGGAAAACTCTGACCTATCTTGGATTATCAGCGTCACCAAGGGCAAATATATGGGATGGTAAATACCCAGCATGGCAAGTCACATTCCTTGCAAAAGGAAGAATTTTCACACCAAATTGTCAGTGATCCATTTACAATCACTGGCATCAAAGAAGTGGGAAGATGTGGAAGTTAACTGTCTGTTTTGAGAACACTGTCAGGTTTCCTACAGTTTGGCACTGTTGTCATTTTAGGCCACATAATTCTTTCTCATAAGGGGCTGTCCTGTGCCTAGCAGGATATTTTTTAGCATTCCTGACCTCTACTAACTAGACACCCTGCCCATTTCCCCTCTCCTATTTGTGATACCCCAGAAAAAAAAAAATCTACAGATGCAAATCCAGTGTCCTTCAGTTGCAGAACATATTCACCCCTATTGAGTAACTCTTCTACCTAAGTTATGAGGATAGTGATTTAATATGTGTTAAATGTTCATGACTAGGCAATATGTTCATAGGTTTACTGGCACAGAAACACTCACAAACACTTATTTGTGTTTATTGACCCTTGATCAGATTTATACATGTGTACAACATAGGTATTCTTAGGCACACATCAGCAAAGAGGAGAAAAATGTTAACCTCATTAAAAGAACTTGTTTGCTGACCCACTGTTGAAATTTGAGGGAAGATTCTAGAGTATATGCCTTTTCAACTCATCTACTGTTGATCACTGAGTGTTGACCTCAATTTGTTTACATAAACACACATGTATACACATATATAAGAATATACATATACATACACACATACTGAACCCATGAACCAGAGTAATTAATTTTGTATATACATTTCATATATATAAAATTATCCTGATATTAGGGCCTGTGTTAATAGCTCCTTTATTTTGCACAGTATAAGAAAGAGGCAGAACCACTTGTCTTACAATGCCATGTCTCCCTTCTTCCTCACATAGATGTGGTTTAAGAACCAAAGATGTCTGTACCCAGAGCAACCCAGAAGCGAGCCCGTGAACTCCCTGGTAGATGGTCCAAACAGGAGACCAGATCAGACAGCCCCGCAGCGGCAAATCAACCTGTCCACTCTCCCAGGCTGGTCTCATTTTCCTTCCACTAATTCTTCCAGCAGGAACCAAACATTTCTGCCTGCTCTTCTCCCATCCCATGTGTCCTCTGTCCCCTGCATGAGCCAAGGACCAAGCGTCATGACAGTGCAGCCCATGCAGGCTGTGCAGAGAGGAGCAACCTCCCCCTCTCCTCTCACTCTTAGGAATTACCTGCCAATACCACCAGCTCCAGGGGGAGACCTCTCTGGTACTCAGACTCCTTCCTGGCCACAAAACCAAGAAAAATGCCAGAATGCCAAAGACCAGACTGGCACAGGAATACTGCAATTTAAGGACTATTCTCAGCCGCATCCTGAGCATAGAAAACACCAATTGCGAGATTTGGGTCAGGTGGACATATCCTACATTACACAACGGTGGGACGAGGCCTGCCAGGCTCTGATTGCAGAATGGGATCCTCGAAGGGACACGCTGAGACAGCCTTATGCCTGCAACATACACAGTCAGCTGGAGAACCATCTCATCCCCTCAGCCAACTACACCAGCAATATGTAGAAACCTCACATCTTTACAAGGGTTTGCCTTGCTAGAAAAAAATACCTTTGAAAAATATTACTTTGTTAATTTTCATTTTGCATTGTTTTGTTACATTTGTTTTGCTTGCATTCCATGTGTCAAAAGGTGCCTGAGTGAGGTCACAAAAGATGTACTAGATGTACACATACATCTAGTCCTACAAAGATACCAGTTTTACCCTAATACAAACACTTGTGAGGTGGACACCCTTACTGGTGTCACAGTACATTATATGCAAGACTATCTAGCTATTTATACACTAAAGCACAAGTACAGAATATTCCAGCATCAATATTTATGGTCAAATTGTAGTCATTAAGTTATTTTTCCTAGTATTAAGCTATTTTTTCATCACCAAGGCAATTAAAACTCACATACATATGTAGACACACACATATTAATGGCACAAATCTACAAAAAAAGAATCTGATATAAATATTTGACAGTGTTAACAGCACACAGAGACTAGGTGCCTTAAAAAACTTATTTTTTCAGTTCTGGAGGCTGGAAGTCCAACATCAAAGTTTCTGCAGGTGTGGTTTCTTCTGAGGCCTCCCTCTTTGCTACGCTGGGGCCTCCCTGGGTCCTACTGTCTTTCCTCTGGTGCACCTCTTTGTGGAACCGAACTTACTTCCTTGACTTGCATTTTCTTAGATTCAAGTGAACTGTGTCTGGCTTAGGTTTTGGTTTACAGAGGGTACCAAAGGCACCAGAGCCATCCCAGCCTAACGGCCTTCTTGTTTAACTGTTTCAACACCCACTAAAAGCTATTTGTAAAGTTTCCACTGCCTGCTCTAAAAATGTTACGAAATAATTTGATTTCCTTAAGTCCGTATTGTGGACAATAGCTATCAATGAAATACACAAATCATCAGGCACAACAAGCGTCAGCAAGCTTCTCCACAGAGCCCAGATGAGCTTTGCACATCTTCAGACACCAATTTATGACCTCATGGCTGGACAGCCCAAGGTGGCAGGTCATAAACTCATAAAACAATCTTATCTATTCCCCAGAAAGATTCCAGGTCCAATAAACTATCAAAAGTAAAAGCAGGTAGAAAATCTAAATAATGAATTGCAGAAGCCCTCCTTGTTGACAGGCACAACTATATTGAAAGATGCAGAACCTGAGAGAAAAAGACCAGGAAGACAGAGTCAGCTTCAAGGTAATCATTATTATTGATAGAGAAGCATAGATCAAATATGCCTTAAGAAAATACGCTCAGGAAGCAAATTAAAGACCCTAAGGAAAGTTACAGGGAAGGTGACATATGAGAACTCAAAAGGTTAAGTCCAGCTGACAATAATATCACACTCCTGGATACAACAGTCTAGCTCCCAGAGAAGGGTTTGTCTGCACAAAGGAAGTTTTTAGCAGATCCTAACCTCCTTGGCTTTGATTTGGGTATTCACCCCACCCTCTCCTTTCAGGCTACATTCCCAAGAAAGTTTACACAATCTGCAGCCCATAGAGAATAGATCTTGATTAATCTGAATTGACCAAGTCAATTTCACTTAGAAAGAGTTAGATAGGGGCATGTGCCATAATTCTGGCCAATGAGAAGTCTAGGAGGGCTCTGGGGAAGGCTGCCCACCAAGAAAGGAGACACACAGGAGGAAATCCTCCCTCTTCTGCTGTTGGAACTGAAGCAGCCACCTATCAGCCACAAGAGAAGCAGCTTACAGGACAAGTTAAGGATGGCAGAGCAGAAAAATGCAAAGAACCCTGAAACCACCTTACCTCAGGACTCCTTGTTATATACACATGGTATAAATCCCCTCATTGTTTAAAGTCCTTTAGGTTAGGGTTTTCTGTTACATGCTACTAAATACACCTCATTGGTATAGGCAGGTGGGCATGTGATCCAACAAATAACATCAGACCAAAAATAACAGATGATCAGAGTAACTCAAGCAGCAGCTTAAACCTCTTAAAACGAACAGGGCACAACAAAAAACCAAATACCAAAAGGGTAACCCACAGCTGCAGGGGAAGAAGAGACAGAAAGGAATGTTTCTGCCATTAATAAAGTTGTACAAGTTACCTAAGACCTGAAGAAATTCAACAGTTGACATTCGGAGTAGCAGGGGGAGGAACACTGAGGCAGGCCCAGAATTCAACAGCTAAGAAATTATGTCTCTTGGACCACAAGCAGACAAGCACAGCCAGACTCATGAGTTCAAGAAAAGAAACCCAAAGAACAAGAATCTGGCATACCACAAGCAGACAAGCACAGCCAGACTCATGAGTTCAAGAAAAGAAACCCAAAGAACAAGAATCTGGCAGCTCAAGGGAGAGGTATCCCCACTTCAAGACTTGAATAACTGGTCTTCGGAGCAGATGCAGATATAGCTCAATGCCACTAACCCTACAATCTAACTCATTTTCCTTTCGTAGATTTGTGCTCTAAAAATACCTCTGATAATGCTTCCCCATTATATCTCCCCACCCAAGAAGTGAGATGACCAGAAATTACCAAGCCAGGTATTTAAAAGTTACTGGTTTACAATGAGCACTGTAGGCTGGTGTGTTTTGGTTTAAACATGTCTTTTATGAATCTGAGTAAAATTAATTTAGACCCTTTTGCACATGCTTTGACAAAACTGAATTTCTAACCCTGTAGGGGGACTTCACTACAGACATCCTATATATCGCCATCAAATATCTAAAACAATGATTTTCAACCACCCTGAAGTCATATCAGAATGGAGAACACATTTTAAACAAATACTCATTAAATCCCCATTTAAGAATCCTTCCCAATCCCCATTTAAGAATCATTACTACAGTGAGCCAAGTTACTACCGGGTGCAAGTGCATTCTTCCAACATACTAAGGAAGTGGGAAAGGTTAAGCACTTTGATTTAGGCTGGGTTCCCCCAGAAGCAGATTATAAAAACTGCTATGTAATAGAGGATTCCAGGATACACTAGTAGGGAAGTGTGGATGTGGAACAAGAGAAGGAAGCCCACAAAGGGTGCATTCATAAACAGATTAGCATATGCTTATTTCTGCTGGGGACCTCTAATTGATGTTGTGGAAATGATTATTCCACTCAAGGAGTAATTCTCAAATATTCTATTATGCTATTTCTCTGGCCAGAAAGGAAGTTAGGTGTCCATCCTGTAATTCCCACTTGGCACTAGTTGAAAGCCACTCCCAGAGGCATGAACTTCACAGCACTCCAAGCACAGGAAGCCTCAAGCAGGTGCCTGCAGTAAGACTCCTGGTGGCGACACGTGCTGGAACAGCAAACACCGGGGCAACATGGGTGGGGCATTGACACCTTCCATTATGCACCTGCTGGTTCCTGACTGGCTTCTCTCCCCTTTGGCTCTCAGTAGTTCCCCTTATTTTGACATCTCTCACTGTCCCTGAATGCACATCTTCGCTTCATCCAGAAGAATTAGCACCTTTCTTATGTTCTATGAGTTTCATTATGGTTTGTATATCTAAAGGGTTTTATGAATACAAAGAAAACACTTGTTGGAGACTCAAATACAAAGTTCTATTTATTTTCAGTAATGAAAACAACACAACAAAGAATCCACAGATTTTTAAATCTAGCACAGTCTTTAGCACAAAATCAACCTCAATAAACTTAAATTCAAGACTATTTTTGAGACTCTAGGGTTTTGTGTATGCTTCAAACAAAACTGTAGGTAAAGAAATATATCTATACTTAACTGACAAGTACAGAAAAGCACAGCCAAGGAGCAAGGTTCCCAGGTATCAAGTTAGCAAAGACAATACGGGGTTTTCAAAGAAGTCTAGAAATCAGAGCTTACCAGGAGATGCAAGGGCTTGAGACAATCCATGTTCAAAGCCCTGTAAATTAAATCGTTCCATATTTCTAGAGTATGGATTTGGAATCTACCACAATCTGGACAAGCTTCTGCCAAAGGATAGGCAGCTCTTTATTCATGTTGCCTGAAAAAAACCAATCTCCTAATTTTCCTCCTTTGACTCTGTCATCAGCTCCCATCATCAATATAGCAGGGGTTCCATTCCAGAAAAGGTTTCTTACCTTGGGAGACCAACCTCTCCCTGGTTACAATTTTCCTTTCAGGAACACACTGATACTGCTGGGACATCTCTAAATATATCCGATTTCTTATATTTGTATCCTCCTATACAATTCTGCTTGGCTACACAATCTAAGACTGACAGAGCAATAGCAGCATTGATTAGAAGACAAGTGTCAATTCTAAGGTGAGAATCTCTAAAGTTTGATGGTCACAAATTTTGTAATTGTGGCATGATATGCCACAACTTTTCTTTCTCATTCTTTCCAATTATTTCTTTCGGAATTCAATCCTCCGAGCTACATTCTGAGCACCAAATTTTTTGACCAATGCATCTCGGGCAGCCTCATCATCTTTTTGTAAATCTAAGTCATCCTGTCGGGACCAAATGGGATATCCATCAGCCCTCCGGCCAGACTCTAAAAAGGAGGAAGTAGCCTCAAGCTCCCCACTATTTTTTAGGAAGGCCTGTGTAACTGTTGACAGATCCAAGTTAAACTTCTCCATTAACTGCCGGATGATTTTAATAGCAGCTCCCACCTCTGGTGGAGAAACTTTCTCTTCCTCCTCCTCCTCCTCCTCATCAGGCTGTGTTTCTGAGTCTTCCTCAGGCGTGGGTGGGTCATCATCACACATTGTTATGTGTATCTCAAAATCAGGGCTCTCGTCCACCTAGAGAAAGTAATGAATACGGCCAGTCCCTCATTACAGCACACTCACTTTTACAGTATCTGGTATCTCACAACTATCACCTCCTTGCCCTTCTCACCCGAATCACACTGGACTTCCTTCAGTTCCTCTCATATGTTCCTCCTCACATTTATACATGTTGGATGTATGTGTATATGTGTATGTATGTGATGGAGTAAGGGTGTGTGTGTAGGTGGGGGTTATATACAATGCACATGTGTGCATATGTATAATTAACTATGGTATTTCAACAGAACATTAGAAGTTACACTGAATATGAAAAACAAACACAAACGTGTGTGTATGTTGTATGTGCGTGCACCTATGTGTGCATTAGATTATAGGTTAGAAGTACTTCACTCTCAGACTATAAGCTCCATAGGGCAGGAATTTCATCACTCCATCTCCAGTGCCTGCCAATGCCTTCACCTAAGAACTCAAACACCACTGCTGCGTGACTATCTTAGGGCCTCCACACTGTATTACATTTAGGCACTATAAAGCATATTTTATGAGAAGAGACCTGTGTAGGTCATGTTTAAGAGTTGTTGAAAGCATTTGAATGTTTGTGGAAAATGATCCAAATATCAAATAATAAAGCAAAATTCAGACTACAAAAGGCAATTATTCTTAAATTCTGTCATTAACCATGTATTCCTTCACTTGCCAATTACAGAAACTTTTAATTATTTTCCTGTGTTAGGATGAGGCCTAACCATTTTTCTTTGTGTAAGAAAAGTTAATTTATAAGATCCCTTTTCTTGAAGAAGATATGCAAATATAATTTGGATTTTTTTAATTCCTCATTATTTTAGTTCCTGCCTTTATACTATGATTAAGTATGGGGCTACAACAAAGCAGGAGAAACTAAACTGAATATGGAAGCGCTAAAAAATTCCAAAAAGCTCTAAGTACATAAAAAACTACTTTCTTGATAAAAAAATTAAACTCTTTTAAAAATCACATTTTCCTGAGAAGTACACAAACATTTTAAAAAGACAAATCTAGTCTAAACTTTGAAAAACACACTGAGATCAAAGTACTAAAAATGGGATGCTCTCTACTATTTCAAAATAATTCCCAATTTTTTTCTCTCCTCCTCCTTAAGTTGTTCTATCAAAACCTAAAAGCTAGGCCAGTGTTCTGTAACATCGTCTCGTGTTGACAGATAGTAACTGCACTACTGGGGGTGAGGATTTAATAATGTGGGTAACTGTTGAACCACTGTGTTGTACATGTGAGACCAATATAAGATTGTGTATCAATGATACTTCAG